ATCCGTAAGTTCGATGTGTCCGGGGAGCTGCTCTGGAGCTACGCCCCCCGCGGCCAGCTCGCCGCCGCCCCATCCATCGCCATCAGCTCGGCGTCGCGGCGCATGGCGGTGGCCCCCACCGAGGTCTCCGCCGAGGAGGAGGCGGCCCTCCGGCCAGACTGGGCGAAACAGGGGGACGACCCCGAGGTCCCGTACGAGACCTTCTTCGCCCAGGTCAAGGTCGGCGATCGCCTCAAGGTGCGCCCGGGCAAGGCGTTTGTCGGGGACGGCGGCAAGGACCTCTACAGGGACGGCGACCAGGGCAGGATCACCCAAGTCCTCCGGCAGGGAGGCGACGGCGAGCGGGTGGTCATCCAGTGGCCGCGCACCGGCCACGAGAGCGTCGCGAGCCTCGCCTCCCTGGGCAAGAGGTTCGTGCGCGTCGCTAGCGAGGTCAGTGCGGCCACCCTGCCGCCCATGCTCGTCGGGAGCACCACCTCTGGCTACGTGTTCGCGGTCGGGCTCAGCGACGGGGAGGAGATCTGGGCGACCCAGGCCTCCGAGCAGATCGCGGGCGTCAAGGGGGCCGTTGGCGCCAAGGACGGGGTGGTCGTGGTCGCGACCAACCGCTGCACCGACCGGTACTGCTACCGATACCGCAACCAGACGAACCCACTCACGCCGAGCAACTCCATCGTGAGGGGCCTCAGCGCAGCGGACGGCAGCGCCCTCTGGTCCTACAGGACGCGGTCGCCCGTGTGGAACATGGTGCCGCAGTGGGGCCCCAACGACACCGTCATGTTCCAGGACTTCGAGGCCAACGCGTACTGCCTCAACTTCAAGACCGGCGCGCTGGTGTGGAAGTTCCGCGCCTCCAAAGGCATGGGCACCTACACGAACGCCGCCGCCGTGTACGACGCGGCGTCCGAGCGGTTCTTCTCGATGGGCGCCAAGGAGTACGAGCACAAGTTTTGCAACCCGTACCCCGCGCCAGGTGTCCTGCCCCACTGCAACACGTGGCCCGGCTCCGCAGGTATGATCTACGGCCTCAACGCGACTTCGGGCAGGAAGCTGTGGGAGTTGGAGACCCGCGAGCCGCCAGCGAGCGGCGCCGTCGGCTTGCTGAACAGCCCCCCGGGCCACACCAGGCTGGTGGTCACTCTGGGCTACAACTGCAGGTACAACTCCCCCTCCGGGCTCCTGTCCATCGACCCGCACAATGGCCACCTGCGGTGGGAGAGGGAGGGCCCGACGCTGTGGTCCGGCATGTGCGCGGGAGACAAGGAGGGCGGCGACATCCGGAGGGCGATGGGCGGCCGCGCCGCCTGCGTGCCGAACTCCTGGTCCAGCCCAGTCATCGACTCCAACGGTGATCTCTACGTCGGCAGCCAGGTGGGGGTGCTGCAGAAGTGGGGGTCTCCCACGGGGCGGACCCTCGACGTCCAGCTGCTCTCCACCCTGACCACGGGGGTGGCGTTCCAGGACTCGGCCATCGCGGTCGGGCCCGGCATCATGGCGGTGTCGACGTGCACCTCCCTCATCGTCATGCAGACTTCGGATGGGGACAACTTCACCTTTCCCCTCGAGTACTGAGCCTGCGAGGCGAGAACATGCGGAGAGGAGGAGGATGAGGAGGGTCGTCAACTGACGTTGTAGACGCCCATCTTCGTGCAGCATTGCTTTCTTACCTGTCCTCGTACTTCTGATGCTTGAGCAGGAGTCTTCAGGGCCCTTTCTACGCCGAGCTGGCCGGGGCCTTCATTCCGAGCCTGGCAGCCAATCTCCAGGACCGCCTCGCGCAGCGACCAACATCGCGAGGCACGGGAGGGCCTTGTGATCCCCAACCATTCGCATTTTTCCTTTCACTTCATGTTGAGTTTGTCTTCATGAGGGCAGTCGCCACCTGTACTTTTGGGGGCCACGCGCGCATACAGCGAGTGGCACGTCGTTAGGACGTCCCTGCTGATAGGACGCCACCCAGGCCGCCGCTTCACCTTTTTGTCCATCTTTCCATCGTGTTTTGTCCGCGCTTCAGTCCCACACTTACTGTGGCCGCCACGGAATCGCGTTTCGCGCGTGCCCGCTCGAAGAAAAATGTGCCCCCCCTCTCGGATCCTCGTTGCCGAACGAGTTCCGCAGTCCCCCGCTGCCCGTCGTAAAAAGAGGGTGCGGAACGTGTTGCGCAGAATCCCGACTAAATAACGAGGTTCGGAGATCCTTGAATGTTGTGTTCCCGGAAATCTATTTGAGACGGGCCAGCGATATTATTCTGCTATTAAAGCCCCATGTGGCGTGGAGAAGTGTGTGTGTGTGTGTGTGTGTCTCTGTGTGTCTCTATGTGTGTATTTGTGTGTCTCTCTGGGTGTGTCTCTGTGTGAGTCTCTCTGTGTGTCTCTCTGTGTGTCTCTCTGTCTGTCTCTCTATGTGTCTCCCTGTGTGTCTATATGGGCGTCTCTGTGTGGGTCTCTCTGTGTGGGTCTCTCTGTGTGTCTCTCTGTGTGGGTCTCTCTGTGTGTGTCTCTCTTTGTGTCTCTCTTTGTGTCTGTGTGTCTCTGTGTGTTTCTGTTTGTGTCTGTGTGTGTCTACGTGTGTCTCTGTGTCTCCTTGTGTGTCTCTGAGTCTCTCTGTGTGTCTGTGTGTCTCTGTGTGTCTATGAGCGTGCCTATGAGTGTGTCTGTGGGTGTCTGTGGGTGTCTGTGTGTCTGTGTGTGTCTGGGTGTCTATGTGTCTCTGTGTGTGTCTGTGTGTGCCTGTGTGTGTCTGAGTGTGTCTGAGTGTGTCTGTGTGTCTCTCTGTGTGTCTCTCGGTGTGTCTGTGTGTGTGTGTGTCTGTGTGTGTCTCTGTGTGTATCTCTGTGTGCCTGTGTGTGTCTGTGTGTGTGTGTCTGTGTGTGCCTGTGTGTGCCTGTGTGTGTCTATGTGTTTCTGTGTGTGTGTGCCTGTGTGTGTCTGTGTGTGTGTGTCTGTGTGTGTGTCTTTGTGTGCCTGTGTGTGTCTCTGTGTGTGTCTGTGTGTGCCTGTGTGTTCCTGCGTGTGTCTGTGTGTCTGTGTGTGTCGTCGTGTGCGTCTCTGGTTGTGTCTCTGTGTGTGTGCCTCTCTGTGTGTCCCTGTGTGTGTGTCTCTGTGTGTGTGTGCCTGTGTGTGTCTCTGTGTGTGTGTGTCTATGTGTGTCTCTAATGTGTGTGTGTGTCTGTGTGTGTGTCTCTTGGTGTGTGTCTGTCTTGGTGTGTGTGTGTGTCTCTGTGTTTGTGTGTGTGTCTGTGTGTGTCTCTGTGTGCGTCGCTGTGGATGTCGGTGTGTGTGTGTGTGATCTCTGTGTGTGTGTGTCTCTCAGTGTGTGTCTCTGTGTGTGTCTCTGTGTGTGTGTCCCTGTGTGTGTCTCAATGTGTGGCTGTGTGTGTTTCTCTGTGTGTGTGTCTGTGTGTGTGTCTCTGTGGGTGTGTCTCTGTGTGTATGTGTGTATGTGTCTGTGAGTGTGCGTGTCTGTGTGTGTTGCTGTGTGTGTCTGTGTGTGTCTGTGTGTGTGTGTCTGTGTGTATCTGTGTGTGTCTATGTCCGTGTGTGTCTGTGTGTGTCTCTGCGTGTGTGTGTGTGTGTCTGTGTGTGCCAGTGACTGTGCTTGTATGTGTCTGTGTGTGTGTCTGTGAGTTTATGTGTGTGTCGTGTCTGTGTGTTTGTCTGTGTGTGTGTTTGTGTGTGTGTGTGTGTCAGTGTGTGTGCCTGTGTGTGTGTGTGTCTGTGTATGTGCCTGTGTGTGTGTGTGTCTGTGTGTGTCTGTGTGTATGTGTGGGTGTCTGTGTGTGTGTGTCTGTGTGTGTGTCTCTGTGCGTGTCTGTATATATCTGTGTTCTTCTGTGGATGTGCCTGTGTGCTGTTATGCGTGTGGTTTTGTGTTGCTGTGTGTGTCTTTGTGTGTCTTGTTTTTGTCTGTGTGTGTCTGTGTCTGTGTGTGTCTGTGTGTGTCTTTCTGCGTGTCTGTGTGTGTGTGTCCGTGTGTATCTGTGTGTGTGTCTGTGTGTGTCTGTGTGTGTGTCTGTGTGTGCCTGTGTGTGTCGGTGTGTGTCTGTGTGTGTTTGTGTGTGTGTGTGCTGGCGTTGATGCGTATTAGTGTGTGTGTGTGTTTTGGTGTGTGTGTGTGTTTGTGTATGTGTTTGGGTGTGTCTATGTGTGTGTTTGTGAGTGTGTTTGTGTGTGTTGTGTCTGTGTGTCGTGTGTCGGTGTGTGTATGTGTTTGTGTGCGTTTGCGCGTGATTGTGTGTGCGCGGGTTTGTGTGTTTCTGTGTTTGTGTGTGTGTTTGTGTGTTGTTCAGTGTGTGTTTGTGTGTGTGCTTGTTTGTGTGTGTGTTTGTGCGTTGGTGTGTCTTTGTGTGTGTTTGTGCTTGTTCTTGTGTGTATTCGTGCGTTTGTGCTTGTGTGTTTGTGTGTTTGTGTGTGTGCGCGTTTGAGTGTCATTGTGTGTAGTTTTGTGTCGTTGTGTGTTTGTGTGTGCTTGTGTGTGCTTGTGTGTGTTTGTGTGTGCGTTCGTGTGTGTGTATGTGTGTATGTGTATGTGTATGCGTTTTCGTATGTGTGTATGTGTGTATGTGTGTGCCTCTTTGCGTGTGTGCGTGCGTGCGTGCGCTCGTGTGTGCGTCTGTGTGTCTTTCGTGCGTGCGTCGGTGTGTCCGCGTGTGTGCGTGTTCGTGTGCATGTGCGTGTGCGTGTGCGTGTGCGTGTGCGTGTGCGTGTGTACGTGTGTGTGTGTTTGTGGGTGTGTGGGAGTGTGGGTGTGTGGGTGTGTGGGTGCGTGGGTTTGTGGGTGTGTGGGTGTGTGGGTGTGTGGGTGTGTGGGTGCGTGGGTTTGTGGGTGTGTGGGTGTGTGGGTGTGTGGGTGTCTGGGTGTGGGTGCGTGTGGGTGCGTGTGTGTGAGTGTGTGTGTGTGTGCGTGCGTGCGTGCTTGCGAATGTGTGTGTGTGTGTGTGTGTGCGTGCTCTGCGCCGTGTGCTCGACTTGCTCCACCTCGTGCCGCGATCGCCAGAAAGTGTGTGTGTGTGTGTGTGCTTCCCTGTCCCTGCCCTGCTTCCGCTGTCCCTCTCGCCCGTTCCTGGTCTCTGTCGTGCGTCCTCGCCGCCCAGGCCGTCGCTTTTCCGTAACCGTTGGGTCTGAAGCCGTTTTTCGGCTCACACCGTCTGGGCTCCAGCGTCGTACACCCCGCTGGTTCCAGATATACCGTACGGTTGCGACCGGGTTGCGGTCGTCGTTTTACGTATAGGGCTCCCCATGGCCGCTCGCGCAGTCTGGGCCGTGGCGCAGCAGGTGTCGCTCGCGGGGGCGATCGCCGTGGCCCTCGGCCGGGAGGCGGGGGCCGGGCACGGAGGGGGGCAGGGCAGATCGGCCGCCCGCCTCGGCGTGATGAGCAAGGCCGGGGTCACGCGGTACAGCGCCCGGCAGATCGGGAAGGCCCGCAGCACCGGGGGGGCCTTCTGGCCGGACTCCAGCAGCCGCGGCAACACGCTCTACGCTGGCGCGGGTGACCTCACGGACAACGTCTCGTGGGGGTGGCACCACCCGAACGGGGTCTACAGCACCATCCCGGTCGGAGCGCCCCTCATCGACAGCGAGCTGAACATCTACGTCGGGTCGGACGACGCCATCCGTAAGTTCGATGTGTCCGGGGAGCTGCTCTGGAGCTACGCCCCCCGCGGCCAGCTCGCCGCCGCCCCATCCATCGCCATCAGCTCGGCGTCGCGGCGCATGGCGGTGGCCCCCACCGAGGTCTCCGCCGAGGAGGAGGCGGCCCTCCGGCCAGACTGGGCGAAACAGGGGGACGACCCCGAGGTCCCGTACGAGACCTTCTTCGCCCAGGTCAAGGTCGGCGATCGCCTCAAGGTGCGCCCGGGCAAGGCGTTTGTCGGGGACGGCGGCAAGGACCTCTACAGGGACGGCGACCAGGGCAGGATCACCCAAGTCCTCCGGCAGGGAGGCGACGGCGAGCGGGTGGTCATCCAGTGGCCGCGCACCGGCCACGAGAGCGTCGCGAGCCTCGCCTCCCTGGGCAAGAGGTTCGTGCGCGTCGCTAGCGAGGTCAGTGCGGCCACCCTGCCGCCCATGCTCGTCGGGAGCACCACCTCTGGCTACGTGTTCGCGGTCGGGCTCAGCGACGGGGAGGAGATCTGGGCGACCCAGGCCTCCGAGCAGATCGCGGGCGTCAAGGGGGCCGTTGGCGCCAAGGACGGGGTGGTCGTGGTCGCGACCAACCGCTGCACCGACCGGTACTGCTACCGATACCGCAACCAGACGAACCCACTCACGCCGAGCAACTCCATCGTGAGGGGCCTCAGCGCAGCGGACGGCAGCGCCCTCTGGTCCTACAGGACGCGGTCGCCCGTGTGGAACATGGTGCCGCAGTGGGGCCCCAACGACACCGTCATGTTCCAGGACTTCGAGGCCAACGCGTACTGCCTCAACTTCAAGACCGGCGCGCTGGTGTGGAAGTTCCGCGCCTCCAAAGGCATGGGCACCTACACGAACGCCGCCGCCGTGTACGACGCGGCGTCCGAGCGGTTCTTCTCGATGGGCGCCAAGGAGTACGAGCACAAGTTTTGCAACCCGTACCCCGCGCCAGGTGTCCTGCCCCACTGCAACACGTGGCCCGGCTCCGCAGGTATGATCTACGGCCTCAACGCGACTTCGGGCAGGAAGCTGTGGGAGTTGGAGACCCGCGAGCCGCCAGCGAGCGGCGCCGTCGGCTTGCTGAACAGCCCCCCGGGCCACACCAGGCTGGTGGTCACCCTGGGCTACAACTGCAGGTACAACTCCCCCTCCGGGCTCCTGTCCATCGACCCGCACAATGGCCACCTGCGGTGGGAGAGGGAGGGCCCGACGCTGTGGTCCGGCATGTGCGCGGGAGACAGGGAGGGCGGCGACATCCGCAGGGCGATGGGCGGCCGCGCCGCCTGCGTGCCGAACTCCTGGTCCAGCCCAGTCATCGACTCCAACGGTGATCTCTACGTCGGCAGCCAGGTGGGGGTGCTGCAGAAGTGGGGGTCTCCCACGGGGCGGACCCTCGACGTCCAGCTGCTCTCCACCCTGACCACGGGGGTGGCGTTCCAGGACTCGGCCATCGCGGTCGGGCCCGGCATCATGGCGGTGTCGACGTGCACCTCCCTCATCGTCATGCAGACTTCGGATGGGGACAACTTCACCTTTCCCCTCGAGTACTGAGCCTGCGAGGCGAGAACAGGCGGAGAGGAGGAGGAGGAGGAGGAGGTGGTGAAGGAGAGGAGGAGGAGGAGGAGGAGGAGGGTCGTCAACTGACGTTGTAGACGCCCATCTTCGTGCAGCATTGCTTTCTTACCTGTCCTCGTACTTCTGATGCTTGAGCAGGAGTCTTCAGGGCCCTTTCTACGCCGAGCTGGCCGGGGCCTTCATTCCGAGCCTGGCAGCCAATCTCCAGGACCGCCTCGCGCAGCGACCAACATCGCGAGGCACGGGAGGGCCTTGTGATCCCCAACCATTCGCATTTTTCCTTTCACTTCATGTTGAGTTTGTCTTCATGAGGGCAGTCGCCACCTGTACTTTTGGGGGCCACGCGCGCATACAGCGAGTGGCACGTCGTTAGGACGTCCCTGCTGATAGGACGCCACCCAGGCCGCCGCTTCACCTTTTTGTCAATCTTTCCATCGTGTTTTGTCCGCGCTTCAGTCCCACACTTACTGTGGCCGCCACGGAATCGCGTTTCGCGCGTGCCCGCTCGAAGAAAAATGTGCCCCCCCTCTCGGATCCTCGTTGCCGAACGAGTTCCGCAGTCCCCCGCTGCCCGTCGTAAAAAGAGGGTGCGGAACGTGTTGCGCAGAATCCCGACTAAATAACGAGGTTCGGAGATCCTTGAATGTTGTGTTCCCGGAAATCTATTTGAGACGGGCCAGCGATATCATTCTGCTATTAAAGCCCCATGTGGCGTGGAGAATTGTGTGTGTGTGTCTCTGTGTGTCTCTATGTGTGTATCTGTGTGTCTCTCTGTGTCTCTCTGTGTGTCTCTCTGGGTGTGTCTCTGTGTGAGTCTCTCTGTGTGTCTCTCTGTGTGTCTCTCTGTCTGTCTCTCTATGTGTCTCCCTGTGTGTCTATATGTGCGTCTCTGTGTGGGTCTCTCTGTGTGGGTCTCTCTGTGTGTCTCTCTGTGTGGGTCTCTCTGTGTGTCTCTCTTTGTGTCTCTCTTTGTGTCTGTGTGTCTCTGTGTGTTTCCGTTTGTGTCTGTGTGTGTCTACGTGTGTCTCTGCGTCTCCCTGTGTGTCTCTGTGTCTCTCTGTGTGTCTGTGTGTCTCTGTGTGTCTATGAGCGTGCCTAAGAGTGTGTCTGTGGGTGTCTGTGGGTGTCTGTGTGTCTGTGTGTGTCTGTGTGTGTCTATGTGTCTCTGTGTGTGTCTGTGTGTGCCTGTGTGTGTCTGAGTGTGTCTGAGTGTGTCTGTGTGTCTCTCTGTGTGTCTCTCGGTGTGTCTGTGTGTGTGTGTCTGTGTGTGTCTCTGTGTGTATCTCTGTGTGCCTGTGTGTGTCTGTGTGTGTCTGTGTGTGTGTGGGTGTCTGTGTGTGCCTGTGTGTGCCTGTGTGTGTCTATATGTTTCTTTGTGTGTGTGTGTCTGTGTGTGTCTGTGTGTGTGTCTGTGTGTGTGTCTTTGTGTGCCTGTGTGTGTCTCTGTGTGTGTCTGTGTGTGTCTGTGTGTTCCTGCGTGTGTCTGTGTGTGTGTCTGTGTGTGTCGTCGTGTGCGTCTCTGGTTGTGTCTCTGTGTGTGTGTGCCTCTCTGTGTGTTCCTGTGTGTGTGTCTCTGTGTGTGTGCCTGTGTGTGTCTCTGTGTGTGTCTATGTGTGTCTCTAATGTGTGTGTGTGTCTGTGTGTGTCTCTTGGTGTGTGTCTGCCTTGGTGTGTGTGTCTCTGTGTTTGTGTGTGTGTGTGTCTGTGTGTGTCTCTGTGTGCGTCGCTGTGGATGTCGGTGTGTGTGTGATCTCTGTGAATGTGTCTCTCAGTGTGTGTCTCTGTGTGTGTCTCTGTGTGTGTGTGTCCCTGTGTGTGTGTCTCAATGTGTGGCTGTGTGTGTTTCTCTGTGTGTGTGTCGGTGTGTGTGTCTCTGTGGGTGTGTCTCTGTGTGTATGTGTGTATGTGTCTGTGAATGTGCGTGTCTGTGTGTGTTGCTGTGTTTCTGTGTGTGTCTGTGTGTGTGTGTCTGTGTGTATATGTGTGTGTCTATGTCCGTGTGTGTCTGTGTGTGTGTCTCTGCGTGTGTGTGTGTCTGTGTGTGCCAGTGACTGTGCTTGTATGTGTCTGTGTGTGTGTCTGTGAGTTTATGTGTGTGTGTCTGTGTCTGTGTGTTTGTCTGTGTGTGTTTGTGTGTGTGTCAGTGTGTGTGCCTGTGTGTGTGTGTCTGTGTGTGTGCCTTTGTGTGTGTCTGTGTGTGTCTGTGTGTGTATGTGTGGGTGTCTGTGTGTGTCTGTGTGTGTCTCTGTGCGTGTCTGTGTATATCTGTGTTCTTCTGTGGATGTGCCTGTGTGCTGTTATTCGTGTGGTGTTGTGTTGCTGTGTGTGTCTTTGTGTGTCTTGTTTTTGTCTGTGTGTGTCTGTGTCTGTGTGTGTCTGTGTGTGTCTTTCTGCGTGTCTGTGTGTGTGTCCGTGTGTATCTGTGTGTGTGTGTGTCTGTGTGTGTCTGTGTGTGTCTGTGTGTGCCTGTGTGTGTGTGTCGGTGTGTGTCTGTGTGTGTTTGTGTGTGTGTGCTGGCGTTGATGCGTATTAGTGTGTGTGTGTTTTGGGGTGTGTGTGTGTTTGTGTATGTGTTTGGGTGTGTCTATGTGTGTGGTTGTGAGTGTGTTTGTGTGTGTTGTGTCTGTGTGTCGTGTGTCGGTGTGTGTGTGTGTTTGTGTGCGTTTGCGCGTGATTGTGTGTGCGCGTGTTTGTGTGTTTCTGTGTTTGTGTGTGTGTTTGTGTGCTGTTCAGTGTGTGTTTGTGTGTGTGCTTGTGTGTGTGTTTGTTCGTTGGTGTGTCTTTGTGTGTGTGTGTTTGTGTTTGTTCTTGTGTGTATTCGTGCGTTTGTGCTTGTGTGTTTGTGTGTGTTTGTGTGTGTGCGCGTTTGAGTGTCATTGTGTGTAGTTTTGTGTCGTTGTGTGTTTGTGTGTGTTTGTGTGTGCTTGTGTGTGTTTGTGTGTGCACTCGTGTGTGTGTGTATGTGTGTATGTGTATGTGTATGCGTTTTCGTATGTGTGTATGTGTGTATGTGTGTGCCTCTCTGCGTGTGTGCGTGCGTGCGTGCGCTCGTGTGTGCGTCTGTGTGTCTGTCGTGCGTGCGTCGGTGTGTCCGCGTGTGTGCGTGTTCGTGTGCATGTGCGTGTGCGTGTGCGTGTGCGTGTGCGTGTGCGTGTGTGTGTGTGTGTTTGTGGGTGTGTGGGAGTGTGGGTGTGTGGGTGTGTGGGTGCGTGGGTTTGTGGGTGTGTGGGTGTGTGGGTGTGTGGGTGTGTGGGTGTGGGTGCGTGTGGGTGCGTGTGTGAGTGTGTGTGTGTGTGCGTGCGTGCGTGCTTGCGAATGTGTGTGTGTGTGTGTGTGCGTGCTCTGGGCCGTGTGCTCGACTTGCTCCACCTCGTGCCGCGATCGCCAGAAAGTGTGTGTGTGTGTGTGTGTGTGTTTCCCTGTCCCTGCCCTGCTTCCGCTGTCCCTCTCGCCCGTTCCTGGTCTCTGTCTTGCGTCCTCGCCGCCCAGGCCGTCGCTTTCCCGTAACCGTTGGCTCTGAAGCCGTTTTTCGGCTCACACCGTCTGGGCTCCAGCGTCGTACACCCCGCTGGTTCCAGATATACCGTACGGTTGCGACCGGGTTGCGGTCGTCGTTTTACGTATAGGGCTCTCCATGGCCGCTCGCGCAGTCTGGGCCGTGGCGCAGCAGGTGTCGCTCGCGGGGGCGATCGCCGTGGCCCTCGGCCGGGAGGCGGGGGCCGGGCACGGAGGGGGGCAGGGCAGATCGGCCGCCCGCCTCGGCGTGATGAGCAAGGCCGGGGTCACGCGGTACAGCGCCCGGCAGATCGGGAAGGCCCGCAGCACCGGGGGGGTCTTCTGGCCGGACTCCAGCAGCCGCGGCAACACGCTCTACGCTGGCGCGGGTGACCTCACGGACAACGTCTCGTGGGGGTGGCACCACCCGAACGGGGTCTACAGCACCATCCCGGTCGGAGCGCCCCTCATCGACAGCGAGCTGAACATCTACGTCGGGTCGGACGACGCCATCCGTAAGTTCGATGTGTCCGGGGAGCTGCTCTGGAGCTACGCCCCCCGCGGCCAGCTCGCCGCCGCCCCATCCATCGCCATCAGCTCGGCGTCGCGGCGCATGGCGGTGGCCCCCACCGAGGTCTCCGCCGAGGAGGAGGCGGCCCTCCGGCCAGACTGGGCGAAACAGGGGGACGACCCCGAGGTCCCGTACGAGACCTTCTTCGCCCAGGTCAAGGTCGGCGATCGCCTCAAGGTGCGCCCGGGCAAGGCGTTTGTCGGGGACGGCGGCAAGGACCTCTACAGGGACGGCGACCAGGGCAGGATCACCCAAGTCCTCCGGCAGGGAGGCGACGGCGAGCGGGTGGTCATCCAGTGGCCGCGCACCGGCCACGAGAGCGTCGCGAGCCTCGCCTCCCTGGGCAAGAGGTTCGTGCGCGTCGCTAGCGAGGTCAGTGCGGCCACCTTGCCGCCCATGCTCGTCGGGAGCACCACCTCTGGCTACGTGTTCGCGGTCGGGCTCAGCGACGGGGAGGAGATCTGGGCGACCCAGGCCTCCGAGCAGATCGCGGGCGTCAAGGGGGCCGTTGGCGCCAAGGACGGGGTGGTCGTGGTCGCGACCAACCGCTGCACCGACCGGTACTGCTACCGATACCGCAACCAGACGAACCCACTCACGCCGAGCAACTCCATCGTGAGGGGCCTCAGCGCAGCGGACGGCAGCGCCCTCTGGTCCTACAGGACGCGGTCGCCCGTGTGGAACATGGTGCCGCAGTGGGGCCCCAACGACACCGTCATGTTCCAGGACTTCGAGGCCAACGCGTACTGCCTCAACTTCAAGACCGGCGCGCTGGTGTGGAAGTTCCGCGCCTCCAAAGGCATGGGCACCTACACGAACGCCGCCGCCGTGTACGACGCGGCGTCCGAGCGGTTCTTCTCGATGGGTGCCAAGGAGTACGAGCACAAGTTTTGCAACCCGTACCCCGCGCCAGGTGTCCTGCCCCACTGCAACACGTGGCCCGGCTCCGCAGGTATGATCTACGGCCTCAACGCGACTTCGGGCAGGAAGCTGTGGGAGTTGGAGACCCGCGAGCCGCCAGCGAGCGGCGCCGTCGGCTTGCTGAACAGCCCCCCGGGCCACACCAGGCTGGTGGTCACCCTGGGCTACAACTGCAGGTACAACTCCCCCTCCGGGCTCCTGTCCATCGACCCGCACAATGGCCACCTGCGGTGGGAGAGGGAGGGCCCGACGCTGTGGTCCGGCATGTGCGCGGGAGACAGGGAGGGCGGCGACATCCGCAGGGCGATGGGCGGCCGCGCCGCCTGCGTGCCGAACTCCTGGTCCAGCCCAGTCATCGACTCCAACGGTGATCTCTACGTCGGCAGCCAGGTGGGGGTGCTGCAGAAGTGGGGGTCTCCCACGGGGCGGACCCTCGACGTCCAGCTGCTCTCCACCCTGACCACGGGGGTGGCGTTCCAGGACTCGGCCATCGCGGTCGGGCCCGGCATCATGGCGGTGTC